CCAACAGGAATATACATGAAAATATCATGTTGGTTAATGATGTGGTCCAACTGGCACAAAGGAATCGGTCAAATGCAGCAATTATCTTTATCGACTTCGAGAAGGCCTATGACCACGTCGATTGGAACTTTTTAGACAAATGTTTAGAAAAAATGAATTTTGGTCCCGTTTTTCGGCGTTGGGTGAGAATCCTCCACGAAAATGTCACCACCTGCATGCAAGTCAATGGTTCGGTGACACCCCCTTTTGAACTCCAGCGGTCAGTGAGACAAGGGAGTCTTAGGGGACCCCATTGCCCCCTACCTCTTCTTGGTCATAATGGAAACACTGTCGGCTAACCTGAGACGCAATAAAGATCGTACACGGATCAGGATTACCGATATCCCAGAGGAGGCAATACCTATCTGCTCTCTTTTTGCTGACGACCTCACTATAATGGTGGAGGCAACATACTCCAATATGAAAGAAATCCAGAATCTTATGAGCTGTTTCTGCAAAATGTCAGACATGACCGTGAACAGGGGACGAAAGACTATAGGATGGTGGCTACACCACCAGGGGGAAGGCCACCCGAAAACCGGCGAGTCACCTGACTCCCCCCAAAAGAACCTCTTAGGATTCTTGGGGCCCTAGTAACAGCTAAGCGTGAACCTGTGAACAATGATGAGTGGCTGACACAACCAGCACAGGCCAAGCTACAAAGTTGGAACAACAAACACACCTCCATCTTTGGGCGGGCTCTGGTAATTAACAAGGTAGTACTCGCTACACTCTGGTATAAAGCCATTCCATGGCCCATGAGCAATGGAGGGCTCAAAACATTGAAGCAGCAGTTGGGAGCCTTTCTGTGGAGGGGGGACAATAACAACCCCCACGCCATTAGCCGAGTAGCATGGGAATCGGTGATTCAGCCCAAGGTCAGCGGAGGGTTGGGGATTGTGGACCCGGCCACACAGTTCCAGACCCTCACGTTTCGATGACTCCAACACATTATCTTCTCATCAAACTCTCCATGGGTTCCCTTAGCCCTAGCACAAATTGCAGCCCTGGCCCCAGAAGTTCCGCCTCAAATTGACCCTCTGGTATGGCTCGAAGACAGATATTGGAAGTTACCTAGGAAATATCGGAACGGGGATCCCACAGATAAACAATGGCTGCGCCTCCTGCGTACATGGAGGAAGCTCCCCCCCCCAGACCGACAGACCCCAGACAGATGGGAAGAGATCTTCAGACAACCCTTGTTTGGAAATCGACTGATTACGGACTCACTGGCCGCGTGAGGTGTAGTTCGGATTCCCCATGGAAGGGTTAGGTGAAACACGGGGTCCGGAGGGTAGGGGATCTTTGGGACACGGAGGAAAGACGCTGAAAAAACACAGAACGAATGCGTACATGGCTGTGGTACTGCCAATTCACAGAACCAGCCCTGGAAGAACTCATCGAAAGCTTCCCCCTTCATTGGCGCATCACCCTCCAAAAAGGTCCTTGCCTAAAAGAAGGGGACTGAGTAGGACTGCCCAAACATGATAAGCAAGTGGGGCGCGTGCACCTCGTCCATCCAACACAAACACTGATCGAAGTCTTCTCTATCCAGGAGGATGATAGCTTATAGAGAGACCAACAACCCTTCATATGGACAAAGAAAAAAGATGTATATCGCATCAGAGTACTTGATGAGGGAAGAGGGTGGCAGGCATACCGACCAACGACCCTCATCGAGGATCTCCCTTTCGACCCGGAGGAATGAAGATGGTCTCAGGAAGCTAGGATCCGTAGAGGGAAGGCAAAGACATTAACATTAGTCAATCTAAAATCGAAATCGGTTTATCGAATGCTCCGGCCCAAACGTAGACGGCGAGAGTTAGTGGAAGACAGATGGTACCGCCACCTCAATATAGAGCGAAGGTTGCTCAAACCCATTAGATGGTTCGTTCACTATGGAAAGAGACCGGCCAAAATCTCTGCCCTGCAGTGGCAAATAGAACATCGATGCCTGCCTACCAATGATTGGCTAATAGAGCACACACGCCTAGAACAGCAGGGACGAGCATTGCCGTGGTGCCATAGATGTCTCCAGTGCTACCCCGGGCGGAAGCGCGCCGAGACAATAGAACACATCTTCCTCCAGTGCCCGTCGGCGGTATTACTGTGGAGAAGCTGGGATAGGATTTGGTGGCACATTGTCCCGGCAGCATTGTGGCCTTGGGACTGGAGGGCCATACTCTTGGGGTATTGCCCCCAGAGCCAAGGGAACACATTGGAGGAAAATATGTTTCACCTAGGAAGACGCGGTGTCCTGTGGGTCATGTGGTGGAGGAGGTGCATCCTAGAGGTGGAAGGAGCAAGGGTGGGGGATGGAGAGGTCACGGAACACCTACGGCTATTAGTACGGCACGAACTCACGGCCCAGTGGAGGGCGACAAAAGATAAACTCGACCAAACGCATACCCGGTGAGATATTCACCGAATTATCTCCCGCTTTGGCAAGGACTGGTTAAGAGGGGAAAGGAGGGGATGGGTGGCGGAGGTAAGGTGGGCCGGGGATCAGCAATTGGAGAGAGACCTGCAAGAGGAGCACCCGGTTGAGCTTGGAAGAGATTATCATTTGGTTTTCCACGATTGGACTAAGGCAGATCAGGGAGACCCGTTACGACCCGCCCAGGAGTTTGCAGACCCTTTCCCCCCCCACCCATTGTCTTTGGAGGAAGTGCCACCTGAGTTATGTGCTTGAGCAGCCTTGTTCAGTTGAAGTTGTTTTTTGTTTGGTACTGTTCAGACTATTTCAGGCTTATCTCAGCCTCTCCAGATTTTTCAGTCTTTGCCAGTCCTTCCGGTTTCTCTTACTTCTCATTTGCTGCCCATTCCATTCCTCATTCTACTTCTCACTCTACTTCTCATTTTGCACCACGAGGACAGTAGATGTGTGGGTAGGGCTGGGTTTCGGAGGGAGTCTCCACCGGTGACCCCCGGTGCCCCCCCCCCACACCCGACCACACGTCAGGGTAGGCAGGGAAATTATAATCCGGACATGGGACGCTGGACTCGGTTTCCAGCACTGCGGGGTCAGACTCAATGGTGAAAAAGAGAAAGATGTATCTAAGGGACGCTGGACCCGGTTTCCAGCAGGTGAGGCTCCCCACCAATAGATGGAGCGGCCCACCAGACAAAGCCTCAATCCCGGTGGTTCTCTTACCACCACTGGGATAGAGGTTTTGCACAGGCCTTAA